AAAGACAGCATTTCGAACTCGACATGGGCATCATGAATTTCTAGTTATGCCTTTTGGTTTAACTATGTCCCAATTGTGTTTATGGATCTCATGAATCGGGTATGTAAGCCATATCTGGATAAATTCATCATTGTATTCATAGATGATATCCTCATCTATTCCAAAAGTCAAGAAGAGCATGAACGACACTTGAGAATGACGTTAGAACTATTAAAGCGAGAAAAGGTTTATGCAAAATACTCAAAGTGTGAATTTTGGATTCAAGAAGTTCAGTTCTTAGGTCATGTTAATTAATGAAAAGGGTATCATGGTATATCCAAGTAAGATCGAGTGCATAACAAAGTGGAAAACCCCGCAATCAGCAACAGAGATTCGAAGTTTTCTTGAACTGGCCGGTTACTATCGCAAATTTATCCAAGATTTCTCTAAATTAGCAATACCTCTTACGACATTAACAAAGAAAACTAGTAAGTTCGAGTGGGGATCTACTCAAGAGGAAGCCTTTCAGACTTCAAAAAGCAAGTTAAGTAGCGCACGGGTTTTATGATTGCCAGAAGGTGTTGAGGACTTTGTAGTATACAATGATGCATCCAAACAGGGCTTGGGATGCATACTCATGCAAAGAAATAAAGTAATTGCTTTTGCATCAAGACAATTAAAAGACCATGAGGCACATTACCCGACACATGATTTGGAACTGGCTGCAGTAGTCTTTGCCCTAAAAATCTGGATGCGTTATTTTTATGGTACGAGGTGTGTGCTACATACAGATCACAAAAGCCTCAAGTATTTATTTGACCAAAAAGAGTTATATATGAGGCAAAGGCGTTGGATGGAATTGTTAAAAGATTATGATTGTGAAATCAAATATCATCCGGGGAAAGCCAACATTGTATCAGATGCCTTGAGTCGGAAGGAACTAGTTAAACCAATTAAAATTTGGGCATTCAGTGGAATAGCCACAACAAGTATAATGGAGCAAATTTGTGAAGAACAACAAGAAGCTTTGAAGGAAGACAACCAGAAGGGGGAAAGAATTACTGGACAAATCAAACTACTGGAAATTGACAGTCAGGGAATTAAAAGATTTCAAGGACGAATATGGATCCCAAAAGTCAGAAAATGTAGAGAAATAATCCTATATGAAACACACAAATCTAAGTATTCTATCCATCTTGGAAGCAATAAAATGTACAAAGATTTAAAATCTTTGTATTGGTGGCTAGGAATGAAAAATTCAGTAACCAATTACATTGAGAGGTATCATACGTGTTTAAAAGTTAAAATTGAACACCAAAGACCGTACGGACAATTACAACCGTTAGACATCCCCGTTTGGAAGTGGGAGGACATCACTATTGATTTTGTGACATACCAACAACATTGAAAAGCTCAGATGCCATATGGGTAATCATTGATCGTCTAACAAAAACAACACATTTCCTGCCAATGAAGGAGAGATATACATTGACATAATTGGCGAAAATGTATATAGATGAAATAGTGTCAAGGCATGGAGTACCCCTATCAATTGTCTCTGATCGAGATAGTTGTTTTACTTCAAATTTTTGGAGAAGTTTCCAGAAGGAATTGGTTCACAGATTAGAATGAGTACAGCGTACCATCCTCAAACTGATGGTCAAAGTGAAAGGACTATCCAAACCTTAGAAGACATGTTGCGAGCATGTGCAATCGACTTAAAAGGAAATTGGGATAGTCATCTACCTCTTATTGAATTTGCCTATAATAATAGCTACCATAGTAGTATTCAAGTTGCACTCTTTGAAGTTCTATATGGAAGAAAATGCAGAACACATGTATGTTGCATGGAGGTCGGTAAAAAGCAATTAGCTGGACCTGAAATTATCCAACAAACAACAGATAAGGTGATTCAAATAAGAGAAAGACTTAAAGTTGCGTAAGATAGGCAGAGAAGCTACGTAACAGAAGGAAGCCTATTGAATTTCAAGTAGATGACAAAGTACTATTGAAAGTATCTCCATGGAAGGGGGTGCTACGTTTTGGCAAAAAGGGAAAATTACGACCACGATATATTGGACCCTACATGGTAGACAAAAAGGTAGCGGTAGTAGCTCATCAATTTGAATTATCAAAAGAGCTTATGGGAATACACAATACGTTCCACGTATGTAACTTAAAGAAATGCCTTGCTAAGGAAGACGTTTTGGCACGGATTGAAGATATATCAGTTGATGATAAGCTCAATTTGTGGAAGAACCTATAGCTATCACTGAGCATACAATTAGGAAACTACGAAATAAGGAGGTATCATTGGTACTAGTTCATTGGGACTATTCTTATGGATCAGAGGCAACATGGGAGGTCTTGCCAGAAATGAGGAATAAGTACCCACATCTTTTTGAGTAAAATTTCGAGGACGAAATTCTTGTAAGAATGGGAGAACTATAACACCCTAGTTTCTTTATTTGATAAATCTCAATATTTCAGCCTTACATGCAAATATTTATGAATAATTCAAGTACTCCATCAGCTGCTATATTTAGTGGAACATCTTAATTATAAGACTAAACAAGCTAGTGATGAGTTGGTAAGGCTAGAAGTGTGTTGGCAAGTCTAGTAAGCATGACTAAGCAATCTAGTGATGAGTTGTTAAGGCTGGAAGTGTGTTGGCAACTCTAGTAAAGCATCACTAAGCAATCTAGTGATGAGTTGTTAAGGCTAGAAGTGTGTTGGCAACTCTAGTAAAGCATCACCAAGCAATCTAGTGATGAGTTGTTAAGGCTAGAAGTGTGTTGATAAGTCTAGTAAGCATGAATAAGCAATCTAGTGAGGAGTTGTTTAGGCTAAAAAAATATGAGTTGGCAAGACTATTGATTACAAGACAAGTCTAGGAAGCATGACAAGGAGTACTAGGAGCATGAGTTGTATAGATTCTCTTATCCTTAGAGATGAGTTGTCAAGAGTCTCTTATCTTTATTGATGAGGTGTTAAACTCTCATAAGAGTACAATCTTGAGAGCAAAAAGAACAAGTAGTTAATGCAATGAATTTATCTATAAATAGGGATTGAAGAGTCACTATTTGTGCGTACCAAAAATAAGAAATCTCTCTCTCTTTCTCTCTGTATGTATATATATATACATAATTAAGCTTGAAGAAAGGAATCAAAGGAAAAAGTAGGCAAATCAAGGTGAGTACTTATGTGATTTATGAGATACATTATGCTATATATAAAAGTATTTTATGCATTATAAGTTATGTTGGCATGCTTATTTTACATGAAAATATTGATACACATACATATTCCAGATATGCATGATGACATGTTCTAATACAAGTATACATACAAGACATGAAAATCATTTACATGTTATTATAAGCGTTACACAAGGCATGAAATTTTTTACATGTTATGTATAACTATAATATCCAAAACGTCTTGCAAACGGACCTTATAGGGCAGCCTTATATGGACCCGGGGGTTAGCAAACCTTAAGACAAGTATGGTATACATGCATATGAGAAGTGAGATCTCAAAAGAATGTTTTATGCATGATAAAGAATAGTATTTTATGAATCGTTTATGCATGATAATAAAGAAAAATTTTATACATGATCAAGAGCTTTAATGAATTATCATTCACAAAATATCATGAAAATTTCTCATTCATGAAACCATAAGTACTCACTAAGCTTATAGGTTATATGTCTCATGTATGTATCTCAGGAAAGAAGTAAGGAGGATTTGCATAAAGTGGTATGGTATTAGTCAATAAGCAAGTTTTGTTGTAATACAAGCTATGGTTACGTTTTCGCTAAGTGATTTCTTTTTTGATGAGAATTCAAGATATGTTATAAATAAAGCTGAATTTCAAGTTCAGATTCAATGATGTAATAGTTTTATCATGTAAAGTAACGGCACCCAATAAATAAGGACGTGGGGCATTACATTAATGGAGTTTCAAAGCATTCAGAAGTTACAGATTTTGCTCTGATTTATTAGATTCATTTCATGTTTATGCCTATCTTTGGAAATTTTATGTTGAAGGAGAGAGCGGAAGGAAAGAGGTTGCCTCTGCAAGAAAAAGCCTTTTAGTAGGTAGTTCATGGTTAAATAATTTCAAAGGTGGCCCAAAAAATGAACTATATCTTAATCCATTCAAAACTTCTCTAACTGCATAAATGTGCTTGATGATAGGTTAGGAACTTCTGTTGAGAACCAATTTTAATTTTTGGTATGGATGCTGCATGGCCAATCTTTTGCATTGCTGTATTCAGTGTATTGTAGATCCATATAGGGTGAAAAATAATCACTTGGTGAAGATTGTCCTGCCAAAGTTACCAGCTTCTGAGCTGAGCTCTAAAAGATCTTATTTGTGCTATCATGCATCATATGATGCTAATAAAGTCACTTTGAAAATTTTAACAACGAGATGTAAATTTGTTTGTATGTGCTTAGTTTTAAATTGTTTATCTTCAGCACCACTTTACGAAGAAAGAAAGGAACAAAAAACTCCTAACTCAAAAAAACCTTATCCCCCGGAAAATTGGGGTAACTAACTTGTTTCTCTGTCAAAGAAAATTTGGATGGAATACAACTGAGCCATGTGCAAGCCGAACTTGAACACTTGGTTTATTTCACTCACCGCCCACTGTCTCCCTATGTGTGTGTATCGTGCATATCTGTCAAACTGACTCAAATATGGTCTTATTTTCATGAAATATGCATTTTTTGTCACAAATTGCATTTCTACGTCTGACATGACATCATTTAATACAGATATGCACACTGTACTTTACAGAGAACTCACTGAACCATTGTAACAGAGTATTTTTAATCTCCTTACTGTTTACGAGCTTCAGTTTTTTGTATCTACAGACTGCTGGAGTGCCAGTAACCTGCTTTCTATTTTGCGATGTTCCATGTTGTATTGTGAAAATGAGAACTTAGGTTCTTTTGCCTCTTCTTCTTTCATTGATTGTCTTGGATTTTTACTGTTCTTTTGTTAATGATTACAGGACAACGAAGACTTGATAACAGTTGTCCTCTATCCTGATCATATGGTGTACTGTGATAGTTATTGTACAGATTGTGTTCTAACTTTCACTAGCAGTTGCATCAAAATAGAGGGTTTGACTTTAGATGGAGATGACAAAACCTTTAAATCTCAATGGGAAGTTCAGGATATACTTCATATCAAATCTCATTGGTATGAGCTGGTAAGTCCCTATTCAGTTGAAATTTTACTGTCTTTGCAACAATTATGCATCTCCTTAGTCTCCATGATTCAGAGTTGAACCTTGAACGTTATGCAGGTTCAGATGGCAATTGTGTCAATTCATGTACTTACAGGAGATACAATACAGGCTGAAAATGTTGAATGCACTTCAGGTTATAATCAGGATACTTCTTATGCTGTTATTCTCATATTGTTTTATCTGTCCATTTTTAGTAGTTGAACATCTAAAGTTTTACTCTGGTCCAAACAGCTCGTATAGAACATGGAGTTCATATCAGAGCACTTCCACATTATGGTATGATGTCTGATTGTATTGTGTGCATACCATTTGGTAATTCATGTATTATTTATAAGTACCAAAGTTAAGACTTTAACACTTTTGTTGTTGAGGTGCTAAGCAGTTAAGGCGGTAATTTTCTGAAATCGCGGTCAGGACCATGATTTGATATAGTAGTTATCACGTTGGTAAAGCGGTGGTACAACGGTAAAAAAAAATTAGGCTCGATTCCTCTATCCAACATCTCTATAAACAGATTCAGAGAAAGTGGTACTGTTTCTATAACAGAAGTGTCATATATCAGAAGGAAAGGAACATTTTTAACGAAGTGTCTTATGACTCGTACACCATAAAAGATTTGATTAGTCGAATAAAATAGATTAAATATTGGCAAGGTCGTCTCTATATTGGATGTTTCTGGTGAGGAAATAGCATATGAGTGGGTGAATAGAGATTATCACACATCATTATAGGAGGTCAGGAGCCTGGAAGCCTAGAAAAAGCCAATTGAATCTGGAAGCGTGGCTGAATCTCTTTAGAAGGGACAGATGTATAAAACATAATCCGGAAAAAAAAACTAATCGCTAAAAGTAAAGTCCAATACATATTAACACATGCCCAGAAAATAGCCTGGTTCAACCAAAACAACCCAAGCAGAAATTGCGTTTGTGCGGCCACTCTTTTATGTCCATTTCGAGGTCAAATAGCGGTAAATAGCGCAGCTAATCTCAGGGCCATTATTTGACCACCGTTTACTCCTATAGTACTGCTAAACCACCTCAATTAACTGCTCAATTGAGGTGACACCTAAGCTATAAGGCAGCAGAAGGAGGAGAGAAAGTTGCTCATAGTTGGAGCAAGGTGTGTGCTTCGAGTGTCTCTTTGATCGGGTCGGTCATGGTTCTTATTTTTGGTAATAGTCATGTTATTGCTTCAAGTCAAATTATTTTAGTTGTCTATTGCCTAGGTAGACAAGTGAAAATTAGGGTTTGCATCCTCTTAGTTTGTCTCCAGCAAACTCTTCTTTGTTCTCCTATCTTATATTCTTTCTTTTTTGGCATTCATTTTCATCTTCTTTCTTTCTACCATAATTGTTTCTTTCGTCTCTATTTGTCTTGTCATAATAAGTGGCTTCAAGTTGCGGCTTCTTTTGCCACCGTTCATCTTAGTGTGTCCAATCAATATATATGCATGTAATGGCTCTTGGTCTAATCGAAGAGTTTGTGAGAATGTTCAAATGCATAATAGAAAGCATAGTAGCCACAACACATGGCACAAGTTGGATGCCAACCCAAAATCAACCATGATGTGTGATGCATTGCATGTTCTAGACAACTATAACATGCCTTTTATCGCAAACTAGTTGGGGTAGGCTAAAAGTAAAACCATGACGAATTATAGAACGTTACCCCATAAGTAAAGGTTAAGAGATGAGCCTCCTAGGTTTCAAGTACATGAATGGCATCTATTAATGCACCCTTATCTTAAAGAAGCTCTTCTTGCATACTTCACTCGTTCAAACTTTTTCTCAATCTTGACTGACCTCTGCCTTTCTGAAGGACCTCATATGGTGTGCACTTGATGACAAAGGGTAAAATATGAAATTATAGAGGATAGAAAATAGAAAATAGAAAAATATGACCTGATCATAAAGTGTTTTTGTATTGTGGAAGTTTTGGGAGCTCGTCTAAACACCAAAGTTCTTGGCCATCATCTTGTTTTTCTTTTGCTATACAATTAATACGAGTGGTCCTATGGGGTAACATGCATTTTGGTGTTTACATATTTGCCTTTAAATATCAAGAGGTATTATTGTATCTTTGTGTATCTTGATAGCATCTAGTGATGCTAGTGTTGGTAGATTTGTTGGCAACCCCACGAATCGCGAATTGGATCATGTGATCTTTATTCCTTTTTGAGGTGATTTTGTGATGCAGTTTGACAAGTGAAGCATACCCAAGGCAAGGTATATAATCAGAAGGTAAACATTATCGGTAAGAATCCAAAAAAAGAAATCAAGAACATATTTGGAGATGTTTTCTTGATCATTAAGGTTTTAAAGAACGGAAACGAGCCTCGAGGCATTTTCCACTTAGGTACATGAGGCGTAAGCCCCAAAAAATAAAACAAAAAGAACAACAAAGTACATACCTTTAAGCAGAAACTCAGCAAAAGAATGCAGAAATCATCAAAGAAGAACAAAGGCATGGAACCATGGGAGGAATGTGTGAAACAAAGGCGTGGAACGATGGAAAAAAGAGCAGCTGAGAAATTGGTGGAATGCATGAAATGATGGAAGGAGGTGTGAGGAAGTGAAAACCTTTTGTAACTGTGAGTAGGAAGAGCGCTGAGTATTTATTAGTAGAAGTAATATTAAATATGGAAGGCTTACACTAAAAACCCTAAGAAAGCCTTACTCCTGCCGCTATATCGCTTCCTACCTCACCTCCTCAAATGTACGTCTCGCCGGAGTAGGCAGAGGCAACTCTTCATACACGGTTTTCTTACTTCACCCAGAGGTGCGATCTTTGAACGCCTTTTAAAACCATGATCATTGTAAGTCTCTTATGTCGGCTATAGTTTTCTTCATAAGGAATTATTTGTTCTATCTTGCAATTCAAAATAATGAGTCCATATGGAAGAGAGAGGGGAGAAATGAGGGAGGAGAGGCAATTCAATTAGCAGATTTCATCCTCTTCTCTTATTGCTAACACCATTTTACACCTCAACTTGAATGGGCTTTTCATATGACTTCTGATTCTAGGGTTGTCTATAAATTATCATTCAACTTTTTATTACCACTAAATATGTTGTTTCTTAATCATTCTCTTCGTATATTGTTAATAGCAAAAGGCTATACTAGTTGCAGGCTATAAAGAATGCAATAAACAAATTTAGCTATCTTATTTTAGTTCATCTGAATATATGATAACCTTAATTGATTCAAATCTTCTTTCAAGGAATCAATACTTCCTCCATCAAAATAGAATTGAAATTGGTCCCTCTAATTTAGTTATTTTTGTTTTATTTTATTAAAGTTACCTAATTTTAAGATCTCTGAATATCTGTGTTATTACACAACATTATACTATGATAGATATGTTTGATGTACCATGTGTCCTAATAGAGCACTGAATGCTGATCAACCCATACCATGGACTATGTAATAGAATTMAAATTGGTCCCTCTAATTTAGTTATTTTTGTTTTATTTTATTAAAGTTACCTAATTTTAAGATCTCTGAATATCTGTGTTATTACACAACATTATACTATGATAGATATGTTTGATGTACCATGTGTCCTAATAGAGCACTGAATGCTGATCAACCCATACCATGGACTATGTAATAGTRGTCTCATCTCATTTTATTTTGGGCTTCTTATTCATATGAGGAAAATGCTAATCGTAGTAGCTTCCCAAAATGGTCTTACTTTTAAGTAGGATATTGAGAATGTACAGTAGTACATTAAATCATAGGAAAAGGGGGGAAGCTTAACTATGAGAATCGAGAATAAACTGCTCATTTTTCCATATGAATCTGTAAGGATGTAGACGTAAGGGTAAATTGGACTTCGCAATTTGGAAATACGTCAAGTAATCCAATACAGGACATCCAACAATGAAGGTGTCGTATATACTGTGGGAGAAAGTCGTACATATTGTCTTAAAAATTGCCATTGTATAGTTCCTTGACAGAATTCTAAAAAGATTCTCCTGTCGACCAGAAATGTTTCATCTACAAAAAAACTGGCTATGAAAAACTTTATAAATCATCTCTTGTCATGTGCCAATTAAATGAATATATAACATCCACTTTCTTCATACCCTTGGTCAATCTGGCCAAAGGAATTTCATTCATGGAACTGATACAGTCTCCTTGATTCCTCCTCCATGTACTCCTATTCAGGTACCGAGTTGAAGTTTGCAGTTATTGGCACCAACTGGTATGGGAGACAGGAGGCAATCACATGTTTGAATGCCTTGTACAAATCGTTGTGGAGCAGTATGCTTGAATCAGAGTGAGTTATCTAGCAAGTTGCTTGCTTTTATATTTGTTGCTACATGTTAAGAGTGGTTTATCTTAGTTAGAACACCTCATCCAGGTGTCTTCAAAATAATATAGCCAATGACATCATCCCTATTTGGAAGTCTGATGTTTGTTTTTATGTCTAAATGTCCTGGTCTAGTTTCTATTCTGATGTAATGAGCTTGAAGATACGGATGCCAACAATTATTGATTGTATGTGTTTGTAGAATTGATACTTATAGATGATTATTTTGTGCTTTTGATCGAGTTTTATAAGTTCTTATTTTTAGATAAGTCAGTTGGTAATTTCTCTCTATTATTCTCAGTCGTCAGCCTGATCCTTTTTAGATCATACTATCTACAAGTCTATCTAGACCCTCCTGGGAAATCACTGTTTTTCTGGCCATCTTATTTGTGTACCATCCTTATTTGAAGTCACTTTATACCAGTTGTGAGATTGGTTGTAAGATTTTATGCTCAGACGTTTGTTATCACAAAAATAAGTAACTGAATTGTAGACACTTCCAAGAATGGTATGACCAAGTATCGTATCTGCAGGGATTGAACTTCAAAGCTTAGAGTATAGATTAGGGAGAACACTGATTTCAGATGACGAATTTGAAGAAATTTGCTGATTTTGATACTGAAACTAATTTATGGAAGGGCAGAAGGATTGGGCTTTAACTATTGTAAAATGCACTTTGCAGCAGAATTGGTGTGGCATTCTGCAGATAAAAATGTTGCAGCAGCTTGCAGCATTCTCAACTTTGTTAGCAAAACCATATAAGACTTTTCCAAGTCAAAGATAATCACTTTAAATCTAACAGATTATATTTCTGTGCAAATAGTTAGATTAAAAATAATGATTTTATGGTATTGTTTCATAGACTATACAAGCAAACACATTCCTATTCTGCTTTTAAAGGTTTTTCCAGACCATCCTTGCATCATTCAAGTCAACGTTGCACTCGCTGCATTCATTCCTGAATCTCAACACAATATTACGACTAATCAGTAAAAACTACTCCTCTGCGTTAGTGTTTCTTTTAAATTTTGTGAATGAAGCTGCAGATATTTGAAAAATGCTGCAGCATCCTGCAGCTGCAAAATGACAGCAGCTAGTTGCTGCCCAGAACAGGTGGTTTATTGGACCTTCGCTGGTACTTGCCGTGGTACGAGAAGAGGGACACCATTTGCTGTTCAAACTGTAGCATTCCAGATTTTTACACCCACACCAACAGGGGTTTAACCCATGTTGCAACTTAATACAACAGAGAAGATGTAAACACCCAAGAACATGATTGCATTAGCTAAGAAAAGATTGAAATACAGAAACTAGAGCTTAATGAAATGCTGGAAACAAAAATACACAAAGGTGAAATTGAAGTGCAAGGAAAGTAAAAAAACTAAAGGTTCTACAACTTAACTACTTGAACTTAAAAGTTTAGCAGTGGTTCTTCATCCTTGGAAAGGATTTTGAATGCCTTCTTCAGTTCCCATCAATCACTTTAATAAATAGTAAAAAGATTTGACTGTTATGAACTGATGCAGCATTCTGCAAGTTGCTGCAGATTTTCTGCGACAGTAGCAGCTTTTGTGACAGCAGATCGTCTTGTTATAGTGGTCAAGGGGCCCCAAACATTTTTTATAGTGGTTGCAGTCCTCTGTGGATTTCCATTTGTAATCATTGGATAGATCTAAATCTTGCCATAATCTTGCCATAAGTGTTTAAGGAATTATAGTATTTAGTAAAGTGTTCCTTACTTGGGTGATTTCTCCAAGTTCCATCGTTACCTCGTATAGTTGAGAATGGTTTCCAAAATCTGAGTTCATTTTCTCAAAACTCCTTAGCATTGTGATAACCGTATGGTTAGAGCTAATATCCTACTCCATTGAGTTCACAAACCGGTTCGTCACCATTGAATTCTTAGTATCCTAAGTAGAATAGGTGTGGCCTTAAGGGCAGGTTCAATCTTGTCACCTGTCAAGTAGCCAATTTTTCGTCTACCACAAATGTACATGTGCACTGATCGGGACCAGCAAAGAAAAAAAATTCCGTTCAGCCGAATGGCAGTAATTTGGACTGAATGAGACTCCAAAGTGGGAACATCGGAATTTTAGACATGGTGGAAGGTGGCTAAGTCAACTTTTCTTTTCTGCTTATGGAAGCCTAGTCCTGCTTTAATACCATATAAGACATTTTATATATGAGTAGGACTACAAGGGAACTAAATTAAGGAAGTTTGCTATACAAATTCAATCGGTCTAGCTAATCCCATGATTCTAACAATCATCAATAAATCAAATTCCTTGATTATGAGTTTGACACAATATACAGATTTACTAAATATTCTTCTTAACAACACCGATGATACTGAAGAGTCAATGTCAACAGCAATACTTGGCCTCTACTGCAAAAAGAGAAGCAATGGAGAGGCCACATTTGCTACCAGTTTACTGTTGGAAACTTGAAAACACATATGTACATAAGGGGATTCTAAGAAAAAATTTGAGAAACCGAATCTGAATTCAGTTTGCACCTAATAAGGATTAATCAACTCCATTCCCATGCATGAACTAGATTCAGATGACACTGAAAATTATTTTCATGAAGGATGTTATCCATGCATCACTTGGGACGCATCTTAATACCTGCTAATAACTATATTCTAAACACAGCTTCCTGTTGGAGGGAGGCATGTCCACTTGTGTAACATTCATGCTAATTTTTGACATTTGAAGTCAAAGTTTGAATTTTTCTTTTTTATATTTAATCAGTTATCATACTTGATGTGGTTTGGAATTTTTTTTTAAAATTGCTCATTTGTTTGAAATACGGTCAAGTACTTGATAATTTTTCATTTGATCATAACATGCAATTATTGTTGCAGGGACACTGTCTATGAATACACCCAAGCATCTTTTACGAAATATTTTCCAAAGTAAGTGAATGAAAAATTTCTTTAGTATTTGAAATGCTAGTTTTTTGCTTGATTGCTTCACTTCTATAATGTAGAAACAATGCTTGTCTCCATGTGTCATTCCCTCCCAATCTTACTCACTTTGAAATGGCTTGTTCAGTTGTTTGCAATATTGCAATAAGTTGAAAGCATACAAGAAAAGTTCATACTATGAGCGAATTGCTTTACGCTATGTTCTTGACTCTTATTTTACGAAGGGAAGGAAAGGAAAGGGAGGGAAAGGGGAAGAAAGTAAAAAAAACTCGTGTTCTCGGAACTTTTTTAGGCAAGAAAGGAAAGGAAACGGGAGGAAAATAATGATAAATTTCCTCCCAAATGTGGGAGGAAAGGAAGAACGAAAATAAACCTATTAAAAAGATAATTAAAATTACAGAAGTATCCAACCTTTCATTTTAAAGGATATATTTTTGAAGGGTATATTTGTAAAATTGACATCTTTCCTTTCCTTTCTCTCCTGTTCAAGAACATGAAAAATTATTTTCTTTCTTTTCCTTTCCTTCCTTTTCCTTCCATCTCCAGAACACAAATATAAAAGTTATTTTCCTTCTATTTCTTTTCTTTTCTTTTCTCCCCAAATTTGAGAACACAGCGTTAGTCCATCACTTGATAGGAGATTCTGCCTTATTTATTTTGATATTACAAGTAGAAGTGCATGTAGGTTTTATATGTAAATATATCACACTAGGACAAACATAAATGGCTGGTCCAATTTCTTTTTCCAATTGCTTGGTCGTCTATGAAAAACTTAAAACTAAAAACTAACATTAATAGCTGATCCGTGGCTTTTACATTGCTTTGGATGCTTGCAGCTTTGATCAGCCTTTTGAAGAAATTATCTATCCAAAGGGGGATGTTGATGCTGTTTCTGTTAGTAAGAGAGACGTCGATCTGCTGCAACCAGACACATTTGTCAATGACACCATCATTGACTTTTATATCAAGTATGTTCATCTGCATCTTCCTCTTAATAGTGTTCTTAAGAACCTTTCAAAAGATCGGCAAGGTATAGAGGCTTATCCAAGTCCAGAGTTCATACTGCAGGTGTCTCCTCTAGCAACAATAAACAGAGAAAAGAGATATAAAGGCAGTACTGCATTTACGATGTCTAGGATATCTTTTTTTCTTGGTGAGATGGAGGGGATTGGGGTTTTTCAATTTAGTATTCTCTACTGGCGGTTTAGATATTTCTTATTTGATAGAATAAAATTAGATTCATAACAATCCACATTGCAAATATAAAACAATTGCATATTGGGCTAAAAGTCGTTACATGTGATAATCCTATCTTTTATCCTTCCTTTTATAGTCATAAGGTATTTAAGTCCTTTTGAATGATGCCTTCTAATTGATCATTACAGTGGGAACTTCATCATAGCTTGTGTTTCTCCACATTAAGAAGTGTTATATTTCTAACTGATGACAGATACTTGAAGAACAAAATCAAGCCCGAGGAGAGGCACAGGTTTCATTTTTTCAATAGTTTCTTCTTCCGAAAGTTAGCTGACCTAGATAAAGATCCTCTTGATGCCTTTGAAGGCAAGGAAGCTTTTCAACGTGTGAGGAAGTGGACAAGAAAAGTGAACCTTTTTCAGAAGGATTATGTCTTTATTCCTGTAAATTACAAGTAAGTTGAAAAACTGTTTCAACCTTTGCACTTTGGAGAACAAATTTGATTAGAAACACTGTTTTGCTTTCTAGAGAATTCATTTGATCATCTGAGAGCCTGTGAGTTGTTTGACAGCTATCACTGGAGTCTTATTGTAATGTGTCATCTTGGGGAAGTGGCCACATACAAAGGTCAGTTTTTCATTTGTTTTAGATCTGTTCATGTATATCAAATATGGCTATTCCGGTTACAATGTTATGTCCTGTTTTAGATGAAGATGTAACCAAGTTGATTAAAGTGTCATGTGTTCTGCATATGGATTCTCTCAGAGGCACTCATACTGGCCTGAAAGATCTTATGCAAAGGTAACATTTGATTTTATTTTGAATCATAATCTAAGTTAAAATAAGCATTGATTTTTCTGACACTTGAATTCCTTGAAGTATATAATATTTATAGTCAGCAAATTAAACTCACACACACTTCTCATCTTTGATGAGACTTGAGGCCCCGACCTCCAGTATAGTGGGTTTACTGAGTACTGCTAAGCCAATGGCCCTTTGGTCCAACTATGAATATGGTTAACATGTTGAATCACCCTTTGCCATCCCTCATTGATTTTGATGTAGCAATATTTTTCTTTTCTAAGTTTCATTTCTATTCCTTAAGAGAGCAACTTGAATAATTGAATGCAGTTACCTGAGGGAAGAGTGGAAAGGGAGAGTAAAGGAGGCATCTGAAGATATCTCCTCGCGATTTGATAATTTGCGCTTTATATCGCTTGAGGTATAGTGCATGGTTTCTGTCTTTTTTTTACATAAGCAGAAGTCTATGATCTTGTCCAAAGTTGTTGTTTTGGGATCCGATCCCTTCAAAACAAAGGACTAAGACTAGTAAAGATCTTGGACAGGAGAAAAGTATTTCTCTATTAAATTATATCTCAACCGAGAACCAGAAACAGGTTTAAGTACACCGCAGTTACCTATAAACTAAGGAAAAACAGAATTCAGATAAGCACACATTAAGCTGATCTATAGAATAATAAAAGGAAGCTTATCCTAGCAACTTAACCATGTGAATAGTCCAATGCTTATCGGATTTCCACACTCCCCCTCAAGCTGGGAATGAATGTCAGTCATACCAGCTCTCATCTTAACACTTAGAAAATTGGCTTTGGTAGAGCTTTTGTAAGAATGTCAGCTACTTGGTGCTTTGAAGGAACATAAACTAGCTCCAGCTTGCCCTCTTCCAGTTTCTCTCTGATGAAGTGCCTATCCAGCTCGACATGCTTTGTTCTCTCATGGTGCACAGGGTTTTTTTGCAATTACGATAGCTGTTGTGTTGTCACTACACAACTTTGTGGGGCCGGCAGCATTGATTCCCAATTCTGTCAGAACTCTTCTCAGCCCTATTCCTTCACAGATCCCGTGACACATTGCTCTAAACTCAGCTTCTGCACTACTACGAGACACCACTGCTTGTTTCCTACTCCTCCAAGTGACCAAGTTGTCCCAAACGTAAGTGTAGTATCCAGTAGTGGTTCTTCCATCCATTTTCGAGCCTCCCTAGTCTGCATCAGTGAACACTTGTGCCTCTCTGGCTTTTGACTTTCCAAAGAATAACCCTTTTCCTGGGCTCTCCTTTAGATATTTTAGAATCCAGACCACGGCCTTCTGGTGATCCTTGGTTGGTTGGTTCATAAATTTACTTACCATACCAACAGCGAAGCTTATGTCAAGTCTAGTATGTGTTAGGTAGATTAGTTTCCCATCTAACCTTTGGTATCTTCCTTTGTTAGTCATTTCTCCATCTCCTCTTTGATGACTTCTGTTTGGATCCATGGGTGTTAATGACGGCTTACACCCAACATCCATGTATCCTTTCCTTTAAAAGATCAATTGTATACTTACGTTGGGTGACAAATATACCTTTGTGGGACCTTGCTACTTCCATTCCTAGAAAGTATCTCAACTTTCCTAGGTCACTTCGAACTCCTTTGCAAGTACACCTTTGAGACATTTGATTTCTTCCCTGTTATCACCTTTCAGAATAATGTCATCCACATACACGATCATAATAGTCTTCTTTCCGGTTGGAGATGTTTTAATAAACATGGTATGATCGGTTTGACATTGATAGAACCCATTTGTTTCACCACTTGCATTAGGCGTTCAAACCATGCTCATGGTGATTGTTTGAGCCCGTAGAGTGATTTCTTTAGCTTGCATACCTTCCCGGAAGCCTCTTCCCAATGGATGCCAGTTGGAACATCTATGTACACTTCATCCTCCAGTTCTCCATTTAAAAAGGCATTCTTTTTATCTAATTGATGAAGTGGCCAATCTAGATTTGCAGCAAGTGAAAGTAACACTCGTATGGAATTGAGCTTGGCTACGAGGGCAAACGTTTCCCCATAGTCAATCCCATACGATTGAGTAAATCCCTTTGCTACGAGTTCCGCTTTGAATCAATGCACGGTTCCATCTGCATTATACTTGATTGAGAAAACCCACTTACATCCCACAGTTCTCTTACCTGGAAGTAAGTTGGTGTATTCCCAAGTGTTATTTTTCTCGAGAGCCATAATTTCACCTTCAACAGCGGATTTCCATTTTGGGTGTTCCAGGGCCTCTTGTACATCCACTGGAATCTGTAGCGACTCCAATGATGCCGCAAAGGCCTTGTGGGTTTGTGACAGATTTTCGTGAGTCATAAAATTCCCAATTGGGAGTGTTGTACACGTTCTCTTTCCCTTCCGGATGGCTATCGGAACATCAAGATCATCCTGATTCTCATTTACTTCAGAGTTCAGCCACATCATCACCTGTACATGGATTAGGGCTCATACCTTAACTTGTCTCATTGCTAGGATTCTGACTTGGACTAGCCTCATGGCAATGTGAAGCTGGAGTGTTGACCTCTCCTTCTGTAAGCCTTTTCCGCCTTGAATTCACTAGGATTTTTTTCGGGTTTTTATCTTGTGGGCTCGAACTTGGTTAGGTATGTGAGGAGAGTGGTGTAGATGAGTCATTAGGTAGATTGAACAAATAACTGGGCTGATTGTATAGGACTGATATCGGCATGGACCACATTGGATATTCATGAGACGCATTCTCCCCCTGAGGATCCGATTTGGAGTAGAAGGATTGATCCTCAAAGAAGGTGACATCATGGTTTTGTATACCTTTTTTATGGATGAGGAATAGCATTTATCCTTTCTGGTTATTTAAGTAACCTATAAAAGAACACATTTGATTGATCTAGGTTTGAGCTTGTTGCGATTTTGTGGAGGAATGTGCACATAGGTTGTGCGGGAATACTCCAAGAGGAACGTTGGCTAGGAGCCTGATATGTGGATAGAACGACTTAAGGGTTTGAAGAGGTGTTTCGAAGTTAAGAATTCTAGATGGCATGCGGTTTATTAGATAGGCTGCTGATAGTATTGCATCTCCCCAGAAAGGTGATGGAATGTGATAGGTAAGAAGGAGAGAACGAGCCACTTCTAAGATGTGTCTGTTTTTTCTGTCAGTGACTCCGTTTTGCTGCGGGGTGCCAACACATGAGCTAATATGAAGAATTCCGTTTTCAATCAGATATTTCCTTAGGTTTGACTCGAAGAACTCAGTTCATTATCTTTTTTAACACCTGAATCTTTGTGTGTAATTGAGTTTCTATCATTTTGTGGAATGCTTGGAAGATGTGTCTAACCTCAGATTTTTCTTTCATAAGGAATACCCAAGTGACACGCAATGAAGGAAACGCACCATCTAGATCCAGATAAGTTCCTTACTCTAGTCTAGATGGTCCCCATACATCACTATGAATTAAATCAAATGGGTGTGAAGCCTTATAGGGCTGAATTGGATACTGATTTTGAGTATGTTTAGAGAGTTGGCACACTTCACACTGAAACGGAATAGAACTTTTATTGAATAACTCAGGAAATAGTCTTTTTAAGTACATGAGATTAGGGTGTTCTAATATAAAATGCCATAAGAAAAGATCGTCCCTTTGTTGGCTTGATTGGTAAACCCTTATTTGTAGGTGTCCTAGGTGGATTAAATGCATAATCAAGTTCCAGTAGGAAGAGGTCTCCATGAGCTCTAGCACTGCCAATCGTCCTCCCCGAGACCGAGTCCTGAAATTCACATACAACAGGAGACATTTTAGTAATGTAGTTTTGGTCTTTCATAAGCTTGATAAGAGACATCAAATTATGAGTCAAGTTAGGGACATAGAGCACAGAGTGAAGAGTGATGTCTTTGGTGATATAAGCCGAACCTATCCCTTTTACATCGGATAGTAAACCATCGGCTGTCCGAACCTTAGCCCTGGTTGTATTCGGTTGGAGATTATGGACACCTGGATGTCTCTGGTCATGTGGTTCGTGGCCCCAGAGTCCACGATCTATTCACCTGTGCTTAGTTTCACATTTAGGGATGTTGGTAAGTGCTCACCTTGTGCCGTGACAGCTGTACCTTTTCTCCAATTGCTGATTGAATGGTGGTTTGAAGCATCTTCTGTAATACCTCCATTTGCTTCTGACTAAATGGAGAGTTTTCTACTGCTGCCGCATGACCAGATGGTCGATATGGTTGCTTACTTGGGAGTCTTCCATGTATTTTCCAGCAAATCTCCTTTGTATGACCAGGGATCTTGCAGTGATCATACCAGGGACGGCTGCCAGATCGAGGGTTTGGGGTGCTTTATTTTTCGGAAGCCTTGTGGTTTGGTGAAGGAGTTTCCCTTTCTTGCCACCAATGCAGACCCTTCAGTGGTTGTAGATCCCAACATGACCTTCCTCCGAGTTTCTCCACGTCGAACCTCAGAGAAGGCTTCCCTCACACTAGGTTGCGGTTTGCTACTAAGGATCCTCCCACGAACTTCATCCAGATTCTATTTCAAACCAAGTAGGAACTTATAAATTCTTTCTTTCTCCAGAATTTCCTTGTATTGTTTCTGATCAAGAGGGCAGCTCTACGAGACATCATCTAACACATCCAACTGTTGCCAATAGCAGACCAGCAAGTTGAAGTATTCGGTGACTGTCTTCTCCTCTTGTCGTAGATCAGGTAATACTCACTTGAGTTCAAATATAGCTGAGGTGTTGTCCTTGTTTGAATAGGTGTCCAGGGCAGCATTCCAGATTTCTTTTGCTGTCTTGTAGTACATGAAATTCTCGCCCTTCTCATTGGTCATGGAGTTCAAGAGCCATGACATCGCCATGTTATTTTCAGTCTTCCAAGCTCTGTACTATGCATCGTCTTCCTTCGGTTCAGGGGCCACCGGTCAAGTAGTATTCTTTCCTTTTCCGCTGATGAAAATCACCATGAAAGGGGACCAATGATCGTAGTTTTGGCCTGTAAGCTTTATGGGAATTAACCCACCCTCGGTGAGGCTGGTTGTGGCGTTCGGCATCACTTGGGATCCCTGGTTTATACTCGAGCTTTCTGCTTCGGTTGTCATGGCATGACTGATGTAATTTGTCATTATTCTTAATGACCGAGTGCGATGAATCAGAGACGCTCTGATACCTTAAAGATTTTGGACCAGGAGAAGTGTATTTCTCTATTAAAATATATCTCAACCAAGAACCAGAACAGGTTTAAATACACAGCAGCTACCTATAAGCTAGGGAAAGCCAGAATTCAGATAAGCACACATTAAGCTGATCTATAAAATAATAATAATAATAATAATAAAAGGAAGCTTATCCTAACAACTTAACAATGTGAATAATTCAATGCTTATCGGATTTCCACAACTTGTGTACTGGTTTCTGTTGTCTCAATCTGGAATGTTGCATCATGTGTAATTTCTACATAATGTGGAGTCTATCGGAATTAGTTTCAGGGCATGAAAACTATGGCCTTTTTGTGGTAACACTTATGTTTGTTGATTTCTTTGGTAATGTAAACTGTCTTGTAATTCTCATTTGACTGCAAAAGTGAACACATTCGGTAAGGCTATCTGGTTTTCAAGAAACAAAGATTTATAAAACGAAAAAAGATAGAAACTGGGTTGCATTGGGATTGGAACCTCAATGTCATAAAGCCAAATAGCGAATGTGTGGTTTTTTGTGTAAACCAATTTTGTAGACCCTTGAAAACATCATGTTCAAATTTACAATTTATATTAGTGTTTACAGAAAAAAAAATTGGTTTTCCAAAAACATTAACAGTTGTAAGAGTTAATAAATGACTTGCCTTTCATTTACTATAGATGTCAAATTCTGAAATCTTGTTTTTTGTGCAGTTACCGCAGCAGCCGAATTCATTTGACTGTGGTTTATTTTTGCTTCACTATGTAGAGCTCTTCTTGGATCAAGCTCCGACTAATTTCAATCCATTCAAAATCACAAAGAGTGTCAACTTTGTAAGTAAACCGCCTTCTTATCTCTCAAGCTCATGATCCCACCAGTTTCAGTTAAATGTTTAACTTCTTTGTCTTAATAGCTTGTCAGTTGTAGTTGTGCTTAAGTCAAAGTACATGTGTTTGTTACAAGGGACAGCTTTGTTTGTTATTATCTTCTTGATGTTGTCTTTTTTATAGTTTTATATCCTTGTAAGATGGTGAGCGGTATATGTAGAGCACTTATTAGGTAGAAATATTATTCTGGAAAACCTTAAACTTGAGAAATTAGAAAATAATGCTTAGACTCGGTGTCGTCTATGTGCTTGAGAAAACGAACACACTATGAAATATATATATATATATGTGTGTGTGTGTGTGTGTGTGTGTGTGTGTGTATAGAGTCGGGTTCATATGAGAATGGTACGTATTTGAGAAAATAAGAAAATGGCGACCTTGCCATGTGGCGATAGGGTCGCGCGCGCACTTTTTTGGCCGTTAATGTAAAATCACATGTGATTTTGTACGTAATTTGGCCGTTTTCTTATTTTCTTAAATAGGTACCATTCTCGTATGAACCTACCACTATGTGTGTGTGTGTGTGTATGTTTAGTAGAGGATTCTGGTAGAAAGATTCATATGTAGTTTCAGGCCTAACTCAGTTTTTGCCGGTTTGTACTGGATTGAACCAAGAGAGAGTTTTCTATAAAAATATAGGAACCAATAAGTGAACTGTATTTTATCGATTCTGGTGGGGTATGGTTTGTCATTTTTTCAGTTCAACCCGTCTTATGCACACCCCCATTCTGAACCTCTTTTTCTTCTACCCTCTTCAATGGCTGGTGAGATATTGTTATTGCAGCACCATATATTGGATCTCTTCTCTGTTCATACCAACTTCAATTTTGGTCAACAAATTGTGACAACTCTTTGAGAACTAGAAAAATTCATTTTCTAAACTTCATATAATAACATCTCTTTTTTCTTTTTATATGAATAACAATTCGGAAAACCCTTTAACATTACATAAATGACATTTAAGCAGATAAAGATGCCAACTATTATTTGATTCTCTTTTAAAGGTATTTTATAGCATTTTATAATGTACTAGATTTCAGCGCCGTCTATTCAGCTTCTATTGTTTAAAGTATATAATATTTATATATGGCAAAACTCACAAACACTCCTCACCGATGGACCCTTGACTTCTAGGGAGGTTGGGATCTACCTGTAACCCGGGTACCGCTGGGCCATTCAAATTATAAAAATTCCAAAAGGTGTTCTCCAAGCCAGTTACCTACGGTTAGACTGTAGACTTCTAAGTTGACCAAGGACAAATCCCATTTGAAATGGATGGTGTGAGTTTGTGTGCGATTTTTACCCTCGTCTTTTGGCCGACGCTCCCTTTTCTGCGTCGAGTGTGTCGATTGAAAGAAGGAAGAGAGACTACTCAAATGTCGGCATAGAAATAGAAGATGCCAACTCTACCTCTGTCAACTACCTCTTTATTTTATATTTTTATCACTCTTTTTTCCAATGACCTTTTATTCAGCATCTTATATGCTCTAGTTTTTCTTTCTGCTACAGATTATCATTGTTATAAGTAATATAAGTAACTCCATTTCAGCTAAATGAGGAGTGGTTTCCGCCTGCTGATGCATCTCTCAAAAGGGTAGTTATCCAGAGATTAATTTATGATCTCTTAGAGAAACCTTCTCATGAAGCTTCATCCATGGCTGCCAATGAAGAATACTGCAACTTGAGCTCTCCGACAACTAGCATCCGCAAAGGAACAGCTGTAAATTTCTTCTCAGAAACGTGCAATCCTTCAACGGATTGCCAAAGTCCTCAAGTTGATCACGGAGTTGAAATATCTCTGTTACCATCATTATCTTTAACAACTGAACCATGTCACATGGATGCCAGTGTATCTCTAAAAGCGGCATTTGAACCAGGATCCTTTCTGGCCATGAACTTTCCATCTTTCAACGAGACAACATTTGAAGGGTACAAAAATTCTCTCGTGCCACCAATCGAGGTATTTGTAATTCCATATAGTTTTTTGTGATTTCACCCTAAACCCTTTACTCGAGACTGATATTCAAAAAAATGGTATTGGGGTGGCGAGGATGGGAGCCATGCGTTTATTTTTATTTTTACATTAACATGTTGCTTATTGCGACATGCTCGTGTATGTTCGGTATGCGGAACAGGAAGGGACAAGACCGTTACAGAATTTTGGTGTCCCACGTTTGACTTGACTTGACATTCTTTTTGTCCACCAAAATAGGTGGAACAAAAATAAATGGGAAATGGGATAAGATTAGTAAATTACTAAACTACCCATATCAAATTGAAACCCTAAAATCTGTCAGAATTCTTTCACCGGCCTACCTCACTCTCGCCCGTCTAATTCAGTCCGCATACCAATCGCATAGGACCCTTAACCAAATTTCATGGGCATAGTCTATCATCAATTCATCACCCAACTTTTACATACGAAGCAAATGGTGGAGGATATCAAATAATCCCTCAATTTGAAAGAAACACTAAGCATCTATACGAAGTATTGTAGAGGAATGATGCATAGGCATAAAAGCTATCCAAAATATTAACCGGATTCGCTGTTTATCAGAGAATGGTGGGAGTTGGGGATTGGTTTGAGTTGATTTTGTGTACCCTTGTGTTCTTTTGCATTCATCTGTAAGTAGTAGATGTAATATGGTGTTGGTTTCGTGAAACAGGAAGATGTGGAAACTGCTTATTCGCCAACAGAAGTTGATCTCGAGCTGGGCAATGGAATCACACCTGAAGTCCCATCTTCATCCCGAGATTGTAAAAGCAGCGAATCTTGGCAAAAGAACAACAATTTCAAAACATGGAATCCAGATTCATTGGAAGTGATCAATGGGAATGATCAAATTGATGCAGAACTCAGAATCAATGAGATAGGAGATCAACCAAGATCACCATTGTTGGAGATGGTTGATGATGGTGATAACGCGGATTATCTTGCATTATCTTCTCGTTGTTCTGAAATGGAAGCGAATGGCTCCAACGGATTGGAAGCAGACTTGCAGCATCATACCAAAAGGATGCGAACGGTTGAACCAGAATCGCGTGTTGAAGGTGATGATTGAATCTGGTGTTTAATTGATTCATGTTGGAAGATATGTAGCAATTAGAATGAACAAATATTGTTATTGTTGGCATTGTATCTTTTGGTGTGAGGATATGCTCCAGAAGGTGACATAATACCCTTTTTTTTCAAGAATGGTTAATGGTTTGTTTTGGAATTTTGTAGAGGGGATTTTTGGTTAAGAATAAGATTGTTGAACAATTTCATGTTGCTTTTAGGTTTCATTGAATTTTAACTACAAAAAAGAATCTTTTTTTTTATTAACCTGGATATCCAACCCGTTATGCGAGCTAATTAATCTCAGGGTAACCATCTGTTTTGCAAATAGCCTGAAGTCACCGCATTTGAACCTCCGTGGCCACAAGGGGATTTTTATTTCTCCTTTGATTTGAACCTGAGACCTCCTGGTACTTTTGATCTTTAGAGCCAAGCTCAAACCAATCAGGCACCACCCTTGTGGTTACAAAAAAGAATCTTTAAGTCTTATGTGGTAGTAGTTATTATAAGGGGTGAAACATGGTATGGTACCATATTTTTGCACACTTATACTGTGTGTCAATCAATTATAATTGGTATATAAAATTTTATACGGTGTATCAACCTTGTTGGTACCAAATTTTTTTCGATTGGTACATATTGGTACAGTTTTATAGCAAAATCGCAAAAGTTAAAGTTACACGTTCATTTTATATTGATATTTTTATCAAGTAGATGTACTAAAATATATTGATATGTGTTATATCTTTTATCCCTACATATACAAATAATAATTACCTTCATATAGTTAAAATAATTTATAATTTATACTTTATGCTTTATAATTTAAAATCAACATATGTTATATTATTGATTAAGCTTTAATTAATAAATAATTTTTATAAAAACAACTTATTGACTTATTTCGGTGCGGCATCGATAGTAAGCACTTTTGAGTGTTTGGATAAACAGTTTATAACGGTGTCAAACCGCTAATAAGGAGTTATTGAAGAAGTTAAACCATTCTAACTTATAATAAGTTGATAAGCACTTTTATAGAAAAACATAAGTTGTTTCAAATAAGCAATCACAAACACCCCCCAAGTCAATATAGAGGTATTATCAAATACCACATACCAACCAACTTAACCAACTTTACATGGTTGGTACAGTACTACCAATTAGATTGATTGTATTATTATTTTTATTAGAAAAAAATTAATTTATAAAATATTTTAATAATATAACTGATGTTGAAATCTCCAGTACAGTGAATCTCTAGAGTTGATTGTAACTCTGGTTAGAGATTTTAAGTTTTGAATATTCATTTAAAGAAATTATTTTGTAACCACTGTTTTGTAGAAATAAAAATATCTCCTGTCCTCCAAACTTCTTGTTTTCATTCTGTCTCACCAACTGTGTACTGATACATCAATATTTTTATTAATTATATCTTTATTTAATTCATCATTTTACTCTATCTTCTTCAATAAAGCATCGATTTTGTCGGTATGTGATTGATGGGCCACGAAGGAACAAAAAATTTAGCGACCGTTAGAGTTTGATCCAATTTGTAAATACATGGAAATTTTGGGTCATCCCAATACGAGCGTCGAAACATGGTTTGAACAAACGGTTCATCCTACAAAATCTTTAAAACACATTCATAATTCTGGATTTAAGATTTATAATACAGAGCTGAGTCTTTTATAACTCAAAAATAAACAATGCCACAAGAGTCAGAGGCCTTATAATGGAGAATTGTTTTAAAATGAGACGATGTAACAAATAAAATTCAATCAATGTGATAAAGATTCAACATTTCTTATTATAGTTTCAGATATTCATATTTAAACTGTTGATCTTGTGACATCTGATAACATGGATATCAAGTTTATCATCTGTTTAGTATCAACCCTTTGGTAAAAGAGTAACCAAGTCACCAAATATTTGAAGATCAGTCAGTAAATTAACAGGCAAAATGGATAAATAAATAAAAAGAGTCGATTACATTTTTTTTATCCTTGCTCGAATGTCCTATAGTTGTTTTCGGGTTTTCGTCCCTAAAGATTAGACGTAAAAAGACCAAAATGCCCTTCACGTGAGGGCACATGACTGATTTAACAAACCTTATGTGGCATTTGGTTCGCAGATACTGGAGGAATCTGATGGAATTGGAATGTTGAATTCCTTTGACCAAATTTCATTCCCTTGTTTGGTTCATTCTTTTTCACGAAAAAGATTCTTCAAAATCCTACAAATTCCACAAATAAAGGAATTTAACATTCCTTAGCAACTACATGGTATTTTGATGAAATGTAATCTCTATCTTCGTTATACCAAATATGCCTTTAACCTAATATACTCTAATCTCATAAAACTTAATATGACCATCGGCGACCACCTCTCGACCACTATTGATCTGAACCACCACCGACTACCATCGATCTGAACCACCACCGACTACAATCGATCTGAACCACCGCCGATTACCACCGATCTGAACTACCACCAACTACCACCGATCTAAACCACCACCGACTACCACCGATCTAAACCACCACCAATCTGAACCACCGCCAACTACCACCGATCTAAACCACCACCGATCTGAACCACCGCCGACTACCACCGATCTGAATCACCATCGATCTGAGCCACCACTGATCTGATTCACCGTCAATCTAAACCACCGTCGATTTAGTAACGTCGTTTGGCTTATGATTATATTTGGGTTGTGTATTTTATATTGTTTTACATATTAAATAATTATTTTATTAAAGTATTTGTAGTTTTAAAAAAAATCAAAAAAAGGCATTTTCGTCGTTACCAAAATTTTATTTCAATTCTAAAGTTGTCAACCAAACAGAAATATTCCAATTCCTTAACAAATTTTATTTCAATGTCTGCCAACCAAACAGGTGGTCAAATTTAACAATATTTCATTTCAATTCCTTTAAAGTCATATACTTTTAACAGATTTCATTTCATCCAAAACTCTTCTACGAACCAAACGTGACCATAGACTAACTATGTTAATTTTTAGGCATATAAAAATATTGATAAAAATAAAAATAAATAGTTTCTGGAAATGAAATCCGTCGAAAGAAAAGCAGCTGCGATTGAAAAACTCCATCTCTTGCTTCTCGTAGTTTATGATTCTGATCCAATTCGTCACTCAAAACCCTACTTCATCTGCATATCCATTCGACGTTGATCAATTAACAAATGCGCATTTCAGTTTCTGATTACGTTGAGGAAGATGAAGCTTCAGTACTTACAAACCCAGGCACAAAGAGCTGCTTTCGCTGGGATTTTCGTTATTCTTCTCCCCAATTTCTTCCCTAATCTCTTTGATCCTTTGGGTCGTGCTTATCCTTCAATGTTTTCGGTATGATTTCTATCTCTTATCAATGTATTTCTATAATTTATCAATGATCAGATAGAAGTTATTATTTCGAAATTGTGAACTATGTGCTTTACGGTTTTGGAATTGAAAACTAGGCTATTATTGAGCTTCAAACTGTCTTGATTGAAATGTTTTTGGTAGTTAATGTAGTCATTGTATAGATTTCTACATCAAGAAGATTGTTATCTATTTTGAGGACTCGTTTGAAACCCAAAAAGGCGAATGTGAATGTCCTTTTTTAACTGGTTGAGTATGTTTTATAAGAGAAAGCAAGTTCTAAAGTTCTTGTCTTTTTATTTGAAGAACCGTTTGACCCTCAGTTGGAAAATGTGGATCTTCCTTAACGATGAAGTCTCATTATTGGGAATATTAAGTTTAAAATAGCACGAAGGATTGTCTACTGTGCTAGGTCTGGGTATTGGGTACACAAGTTCCTTTTAAAGGCTGTAAGCAAGCTGTTTTTGTGATTGAAACTCGTGTAGCAATTAGTCCCAGACTCTTCCATGAAAAAAAAATGAGTTTGAACTTTGAAGTACATTTTTGTTATCACAAAATTTTGCGGAATTATATGGAGGAGAAGTCCTAAAATAAGTGCTATAAATGCCCTTTCTCTTGTTTATGTTGGATGATGGGAATATATAACTTTAGAAGTGATCATTCTCAATTTTTTTGCTTTGTTCTTTCTTCTTGCTAAGTGCTTAAGTTGTTTTTTGTTGTATGTTGTACTGTGATATGAACCATTTGACCTCCTAACACGAGGATATATTGCGTGAATTTTAAGTTTTTATTGGTTAAGATGACGTTATGTATTCCTAATTTCCTACTTCATGCAAAGACCATGAATTGGTTCATGGGAGCTAGCTCATTGTTGTGAATGACAATGTATAGCATGCTCATTGGAGGGAAAAAGAAGGGAAGAAAAGGATATCAATATCATGAGAAGCCTTGCAATACTTTTTGGGTAGCTTCATATGATGTGAGAAGCAGCTTCGTCTAATTATTAGAATGCTGGAGTTTTTCTTCAAATGCCTTTAATTGTAAAGATACTGGGATGAGCTCTACTTGCTTAAAAGAAAGTCTATCTAGAGCCTTATAATTGAACTTCATGATCAATTACATGAATGTATGCTAATTCTACTAATTTTCCAACTCCTTACAAGATCTTTATGCAATTGCCATATGAAGTCAAGCTCTCAAGTAACTATTGATCGCTTGCCGGTTGTTTCTTTCCTTCACGGAGGAGATTTTTTGTTGTAGGAATGGAATGCTCCAAGTCCTAAGCATGTTCGGCTATTAGAAGGTGCTGTGCATCAACAAATTGTGAGTAGCTGCTAACTGTCATTTTACAAATGAATGGAACTCTCGACATTTATCATACGTCTAATCAAATACCTCCTCTATACCCAGTCTGAGAAACAACAGACTGATATATGGTCTCCGTTGGCTTACCAAGGGTGGAAACCTTGTCTTGATTCTGCTCGCTTCTCATGTGAGTTCTTTAAACCATTCTATTTATATTTTGAACCTGTTCAGCTTTCATCATTCCACTTTGGTCCCAGAAATTTCTCTTTTCATTTCTAATCATTCTTTAATCAAAATCACAATTTTATCTTTGAAGTCAATCCAGAGAAATCTCAGGGGTATATTCAGGTGTTTCTTGATGGAGGATTGAACCAGCAGAGAATGGGAGTGCGTGCTCTTTTATCTCTTGAACACACAAACAAGCATACGAAACGAAGAAATGCCTAACATTCACAAAATTGGTTACATGTCTTTAGTATTTGTTTTTTATTTTTATTCCTTTCCCTAAAATCTTTTCTCCCAAAGATTTGTGATGCAGTTGCTGTTGCTAAAATTTTAAATGCAACTCTAGTAATCCCACACCTTGATGTAAATCCTGTCTGGCAAGATTCAAGGTATTACTAGGCCACTATCTTGACTGTTTCTATTCTTACCTCACAGTCACCGCTAAAAATATTACATCTACTATGCAGTTCTTTCACCGATATATTTGACGTTGATCACTTTATTGAGGTCTTGCACGATGAAGTCTCCATAGTTAAAGAGCTTCCCAGCAAGTATGCTTGGAGTACAAGGGAGTATTATGCCACAGGCATACGAGCTACAAGAATCAAAACAGCACCTGTTCATGCCTCTGCTAAGTGGTATCTGGAAAATGTTCTGCCAATGCTAAATAGGTTTGTGATAACGTTTTATTTTTACACAGTATGCATCCACTTGTCTATAAAAAGGCTTCACTGTCCAACTATTGCCTGAGATTTTATCGGTTATTTCATGATTTTTAGCATATGTATGCTTTCCCTACTCTCTCCATCCCACCGAAGCTGCAATATTTGACCATTTTAAGGGAAGTGTTTGACTATTAACCAAAATGCCTTTAATACCCCTTAATAATGCATCATAGGAGAATCTTGTGGACCATAAGCAAATTAACATCAATTTTTTGTAACAATGACAATAAGCAAATAAGTTAGATTTAAAAATTTCCATAAAAGGAAATATGGCAATTTTGATGGGATTGAGATGGGAGTTGACGAAATATGCTCATGTTGTGCTTCTCGTTAATATTTGTACTGTTTAAAATATTGACAGTTAGAGGTCATTGCATTCTGCTACTAATCAAATTGAAACATTATGGTATATTGTTATGAATATCATTGAGGAGAATCAGCGAGATATATATAGCACATAATATAAGTCCATGGGCATATATGATACAACAGAAAACTACTATCTACTATTTGATTCGTGCAAACAAGCTTGAGCAGCTCTCATAGAGACGTTATCATTTGGACACATGTAACTAGTATTGCATTGGCTTGAGGATGTTATCTGCATATCGATCTTAAAGTTCAGTTAAACCAGATTTACCATAATTGAATAATTACTCTTACCCAATGCGAGTAAACATATGACCATGGTCCTGATTGATGTTAGTTTTGTGTACCATGTGGGAGAAGTGCTTTGATTTTCTTTTAGCTATTACCAGGTCTACATATACATTTTGACTACCATTTTTTTGTTTCAGTCATGGGATTGCTGCTATCGCCCCATTCTCTCACCGTTTAGCTTTTGATAACCTGCCTAAGGAGATCCAGCTTCTTCGTTGTAAGGTTAACTTCCAAGCATTATCTTTCGTTCCCCATATTAGGATGCTGGGTGACACCCTTGTCCAACGCCTTCGAAGCCCTCCTAATGCAAAAATAGCAACAAAAGATGAGCAGCTGCATGAAAAAATGGAGGATAAATTGGGAAGTGGAAAGTTCATCGTTTTACACCTCCGCTTTGACAAAGTATGTTTCCTTCCATACTTATCTGTCATGATCTTTTATGAAGGTGTTGGTCCATCTTCACATATGTTGTTAACTACTTTATTGCATATGATTTATCCCAAAATAAGTGCCCACGTTTCTATTGCCCCAAAATAAGCGTCTACTTTCCAATTCTACCCTAATTATGAGATGGAGGAATTCATTACTCCCTCTATTATTAAGGGCACAATTGTCATTTAGTTCATTAAAAAGTGTAATAATTACACATTTCTAAAAATGTGTATCTTTATTCATTGTGGACATTTTTTTGGGACGCACTATTTGTGATTCATGAGTGACCCCGAGTGGGCGTAGATGAAGGTTCATAACAGTGACTTCACTTGGCACAAAGCCAAGTTGCAACTTCAACCCCCCCCCCCTTTTCAAGTTCGCTTCACCATGATTAGTCAAAGATTATCATTTTTCTGAACAACTATCACCTCGGCACATAGGCCTGTTATTTCTCGTGCATAAATTACGGATAGGCGAGGGTGGGATTGTGTATGTTTCTACAACATTTAATTGCACAGGATATGGCTGCTCATTCAGCTTGTGATTTTGGTGGTGGAAAAGCCGAGAAGTTGGCTCTTGCAAAGTACCGCCAAGTAATTTGGCAGGGACGAGTTATGAAAACTCAGTTCAGTAACGAGGAGTTGAGACAACAGGGACGATGTCCCCTGACTCCTGAAGAGATCGGACTGCTATTGAGAGCGTTGGGCTTCAGCAATGATACACGCCTCTATCTTGCATCCCACAAGGTAATCCTAAATATCAATATTTGAATTTGCAATTAGTATAGTGAGGTAAGTGTGTGAAAGAATTGTGGAAGGTTTTAGGGTTTTAATATAACATGGGTAGTTTAGTAATTTACCAATCTTGTACCGTCTCCCTGATTTTGGTTCCACCTATTTTGGTGGGACGGAATGAATGGATTCTTGTCCCACTCAGTTTCTTTCATCTCCCACTGTCACGCCAAACATGCGACAACAAGTGTTGTATTCTCTGGTCCTGTCCCGCGTACAAACCGACCCTGACTCCATGGCCGTGGGTCCAGACCACGAGAATTATTGGCACCTTTGGGTTGCTTATACCACTTTCTTAAACAACCATCATGCTTGCAACTTCCAAATAGCTCATTTGCAACTTCTAGTTATTTTTGCAAGAATGATGGTTTATTGTCAATGAAAACCCGACTTCAAATACTCTGCCTATTGCTCGGAACACAAATGAAGCAACTTTTGCATAACCTGCTTTATCTGTCCCTGGAAAAAAGGTGTACGGTGGAGAAGCAAGGATCTCCACGTTGCGAAAATTGTTTCCTCTCATGGAGGATAAAAAAAGCCTTGCCTCCGACAAAGAACGGGCTGAAGTTGAAGGAAAGGCGTCGTTGCTAGCGGCTGTCGATTATTATGTCAGTATGCACACCGACATCTTCATTTCTGCTTCCCCTGGGAATATGCACAATGCAGTGGTATGCTTTACCTCAAATATCATCATATCATTGATGCATACAAATCATCGATCTTCGAAAATGCAAAAAGAATCGGTACACTTTCTAAGAATGAGCAATTTTTGATAAATCATGAAGAAATAAATAACCATCATACTCGAGATTTTTATACAAAATTGTTCATTCTTGCAAAATACAGTATTTTTTTTTTTTGCATTTTCACAAGAAGGATAAGGCAAACTGCATCAAAATGAAACAAAATGTGTGTTAGTTCCTATTTAGTATAACGAAGAATTTATTTTTTCAGTTAGTGTAGAAAACATTTGAAATCTTTCCATTTCATACACATTTTACTTGATAAACGGTTTTCAGCCTACGTGGTACCTAGGGGTGTAAACGAGTGGAGTCGAGTCGAGTAGCAGGTTATTCAAGCTCGGCTTGAAAATATAATATTAGGCTAGAGCTCAAGCTCGACCTCGATTAACTTTCTCAAAGTCGGGCTCGAGCTCGAGCTCGATGCTTGTTTATGAGCTCGAATTTGATTTCCATTAACTTGTATAATTGTATAAATATGTTTGGCTCAAAAAAGTGTATGCTATATAAATATGTTTGGCTCGAAAAAGTGTATGCTTGAATGGCTCGGCTCGGCTCGTAAAGTTTAATCAAGTTTTCGAACGAGTCGAGTTGAAAATTGGTGTTATGGAGCTTGACTGGTACCGGTTAATTTTGATGTGGCATTTTTCCACGAAAGTAAGAATCTGAATATAAATCGACAACTTGACTTCCACGTTATCAGTAGTTACATAATCTATCGGTTACCTGTCAAAATGTGTATGAAATCGTTACATTAAATCAGAACTAAAGCAAACTTCATTGCAATTTTCGCGAGAAGGATATTATGTTTACAAGAAAACCCGAGTATGATTCTTAAACAGCTTAATCGCTCTTCAAGTTATTGATATGGTTTTTTTTCTAAAAAAACGGACTGTTCGTGCTTCTTTTTGCCAGCTAGGGTATCGAGCATACAGGAACATGAAGACTATAAGACCGAACATGGTGCTTTCGAGCCAGCTCTTTCTTAACGAAACCATGGAGTGGCCGGAATTTCAGCAGGCCATAGAAAATGGGCATAAGAATAGACAAGGGCAAATCCGGGTAAGAAAAGAGACACAATCCATATATACATATCCGATCCCCGATTGCATGTGTCAAGGTCATCGATAGTTCGTTTGTTCATTAAACGTTGAGTTAAACAACTACTATCGTTTGAAATGTTATTCTAAATCAAACGAAGCCAGTATATCACACACACATTTAGGATATGATGTAATATGATATATGCAGACTTTATCATGAATGAATGACAGGGAGAACTGCAAAATTATTGGCATTCTTGATTTGATTTTGGTTGCAATCTTAACCTGAAGGTATTTTTTTCATTAACCTGGATATCCAACTGTTATGCGAGCGGATTAATTCCATGACGACACCGTATTTGAACCTCTGTGACCACAAGGGTATTTTTTATTCATCTTTGGATTCGAACCTATTTTGACCTTTGGAGCTCAAGCTCAAACCAATCGGGCACCACCCTTGTGATTCAATAATCAAAACATGTATGTGGAAAGAAAACAAATCAAACAGACTCGGTATATTATATTCAAATGTATGGTCAGGGACCGAGAGATATATATATAGACCTTATCTTTGTCTCAAGAGAGAAAAGGTGTTTTCGAGAAGACATGCAACGGAAATGCCTCAACATGTATAACTAAAACTTAAACAATGTCAAATGACTTAAACAACTATCAAGTCTAAATACGATATTGTATCAGTAACATTTGAAATAACTGAATCGAACTTGATAACATGGTTATTTTCTGACACCACGTTACTTATTTACACATACATTAAAATATATATATATATATAGAGAGAGAGAGAGAGGAGTGATCATATGAAAACCGCTCTCATTTGTGTAAACCGTGCAAACCATCTTCATCTGTCGATTTCATTGTTTAATCTTATGAAATTTTTTCATAAAATTGTTTAATTTTGTGAAATTGTTTCATATAATACTTTTTTTGATGAAGTTGTTTCATATATGGGTGTGAAATTGTTTCA